TTCTTTCGCGGGGGCTTCAGTGACGAACGCCCCGTCGCGCCGAGGTAGTGCCCCCTCTCTCTCTCTCTCTCTCTCTCTCTCTCTCTCTCTCCTCTCTTTCTGCATTTTCACCGTCACGCCTGCGCTGCCATAATGGCCGCTGTACTGCAAACAGCTCTCGGGGACGAGGGCCCGGATCTCCCGCCATGCATCTCCGAGCTCTGCCACTCGATACAGTCGGAAGGAGCCTGCAAAAGGAGGCTTCTCAAGAGGCATCTCGTGGAGAACTCTCACTTTTTGAGGAAGCACGCAGTCTCGACAACTTGAGCGAAAACAAAGCCAAGACAGGCCTCGGGAACGAAGCCACGGCTCGAGGGATGCCAGGGCCGTCTGCAGATCTGCCTCCCCTGCCTCATCCACCATCAGGTGGAAGCGCAATGGACAGGTGGCAAAGAAGAGCGCCGAGCGGATGCCCGCGAGAGCCTTGCGTCCGAATGGAGGGAACCCCACAGATGCCACCTCCAGGGATTGACATGTGACAGGGCCGAGACATGAGGCTCATGACTCATGAGGCCCCCTTTTGAAATTTTGCAGAGCCGAGCCATGGCAATGTGCAGGATCTGTGATGGGACCAACGGTGAGGGCGTCGAAGCCGTCCATCGTGTGTCGGAGCGCTGCCGCACCACCTCCCACCATCCCTGCGCGGCCTCAGAGAAGAGCCCACGCGCCTGGGATGCGAGATCAAGAAGGCTTGAAAGAAACAAGCAGTGGATACTCTTTGAGCTTATCCTCGCTTCACCCCACCTTCTGAGCCAAGGGGTGCCATGGCGACAGCAGCGTCAAGGCTGTCTGTAACAGGGTGATGCGCCAATCCTGTGCAGCTGAATGGGTTCAAGAAAGTGTTGGCGGGCCCTACTGCAAAGAGAGTGGATTAAACACGCAATCGAGACAATGACAGGCGACAAGTAAACAGGCTCTGGAAGTCTTGCATTGGATGCAAGATCTCATGAGCTCGTCGTCCAAAATGCAGCAGCGCCCACGTATGCGGCAAATGTTTCAAGCGACCCGTGGCAGTCGATGCCACGGTCGGCCCCACGTGGTGTCGTGAACGCATTCGCTGGTTCAACCGTCGTTGCTTGTGGCGTGATGCCTTGGGTACCTAGCGTTCTATGTGTTGCAGAGGGGGCGTGCTCGTCCGGCTGCTCCAACTCTCTCGCAACAGTTTGTGTGGCCTTCGGGGAGTTCTAGGAACAGACCCCCAAAAGACTCTGCTGGCCCTAGAAGAGTTTTGGAAGGTTGTGGAGATCTTTCTTCAAAGGCCGTGCCAGCGTGCGTGGTGGCTCGCGGCGCCTCTTCCGACCTTCTCTTCTGCCCTTTCCCCTTGCACTTCCGAACGCTGTACCTCCTCGGACCCCCACGAAGACCACTTTCTAATTTAGATCCCGATGGCCCAACGAGCAATGCCAACTCATGGCAGCTGGGCGCCTGCAGCGCAAACTCGCCCTCGTCGGTGAGATCTGACCAGCCAAGTTGGAAAACCATCGCCAGCGAAGAAGACATTGCAACCTGAAGGGTCTGCCTTGTCAACACAACATCTGATAGCATCGGGCTCTTGCTTTCTTAGTCACTTGGTCCCTTTTGTGTTTAGTCTTTGTTTACGGGGTTTGGTTGAATTGGCTTTGAGGCCTCCGGCCTCCGCTGCGTAGAGGAAGAAATCTGCTCGGCAGCTTTCCTCCGCTTCGCACCTGGAAGCACTGGTGGCTTCCACAATGCCAATCAACTCCTCCGAAGCAAGCTCGATTCCTTGCTCGAGCTCTTCCTTGCAAGTCGGGGCCGTGTTTGGAAAGCCCGCTGTGCGACTCTGGGGCATCCTTCATCAATCCTGAGGCTGCTGAGGCCGGTTCCCACTCTGCGGTGAAGCGTTGCACGCCCTGCCGCAACTCGCCGCAGCAGGCCGCGCGCAAAGGCACAAAGGCGGGCGCGGCGCAGTCCGATGAAGCATGGCCGCGTTGGCAGCAGGAAGCCTCACCAACATGCTCGACCACTGCTTCTGCAATTTCTGCATGCCTGGGAACTCTTTCTTTCCTTCCCTCCTTCTTTCTTTCGTGGGGCTTGGGGCGCACCCCCGCCCCCTGTTTGTGGCAGCCAGTTGTTCTTCGGAACTGGGATGTGAGTCATCCCCTTTGTGCCCCCTTCTGACCAGAAAACAACCTTCTGCATAGCGTCGCATCCCCCGCGGCCGACTTAGTTGTTTGCGGGGGTCGCCCGTGTTGATGCCGTGCAAATCCCTCCTTATGCTCAAGCACCTACCCCCTAAATCGTGGGAGTGTCATTTCTCTCCAAGCTTGAGCCTCCAGCTCCTTTCCGGATGCGAGGCTGGCGTTCCAACACCTCGGGATCGGCACGAGGCTTCCTGGGCTGTCGGCACTGACCGTTGCCAGGCCGGCAACCAACCCCATGACAGCGTCATCTAGCCACGAGATGTGGTTTTGGAAGTCTTATGGACTTGGCATGCTGCTTGCTTAGTGACGTAGTGCAAACTTTGCAGAAACTCTTCGAAAGAGGTATCGTGATGCATGACACTGCGCGGTAAGGAGAAGGTGACCATGTGCGGATATGCACGGGCACCATGCCATCCTTGAGCCACAACGGCTTCATGCCACAGCTTGGCGCAAACGTCGCACACGTGACCTTTCGCCCTTCACCCCAACCTGACAATGAAGAGTTGGCCTACTCTTTTGCTGCAGCAAGCCGATTCTCAAACTGAGTCCCTGGAGTCGCCGCATTCTAGCGGCAAGACTTCCTTTGTGGACACATACTGCAAGCTTCGCATGATGCGAACCGTGTGGCAAAGTGCCGACGGGTGCCCCGCGGAAAATGGCACAACAAACGAGCCCAAGCAAGGTGTTGGATCACTTGCGATTGGCACGTAAACCATATTGAGCGCAAGCCCCACAGACGCAGAGCTGGAACTTGTCACATTAGCGCCTTGAAACTCACGCAACGTGTTGAAACGAGAGACGGAGCACCGATGCCATGGTGCTCCGAGTTCGGGGTTGATTTCGCAACTTGTTGTGTAGTGTCCTCATCGTTAAACCATTTCTACAGGACAAGATCACACTCCATCCCTACACGTCAACGACAAAACAAGTTGCTGAATGGTGCACTTTTGTGCGTTGAACTGCTCACTTCCGTTGCTGTAACGCAAGACAGCTTGAGCTTACCTTTTGAAGGCCAAAACATCTGTTCAAGTCTGCCTGTCAGCAGGAGCTGGTACAATGCCAAGACCGCATCGCATGCATTCAACGATGCGACGGGATAGAATTCTGGTGAAAGAAGTATTAAAGACAAAACACTTCATTGCACTCTGTTGCTCAACTGGTGCCAACCACTTGCACGAGCAGGCAGATGGCCTATGCAAGTATGCTCTCTGTTGTGCGACATGGTCCTCTTCTGGGCGGACTGCAAACGGCTCGAGCTTCTGTAGTGCCCAAGAAGAAAGGCTCCGCTGTCGTCACGCTTAAGCATACCACCCTGCTTCGGCAACCTTGCCTCAGTTGATGTGGCGTCCACCTTCCCCTTCCCACTACCCCATACGAATCAAAAAGCAAGTACCACCTGTCTTAGCACAATATGCCAGAGCAATGCCCCGAGCGCGCATGACATGCAGGAACTCTACGAAGCCAGCTCCAGAAGCTCCAGCTCCGCCGCCGATGCAATGATACGGACGCAGGGCATGGGCGAAGAACACACGCAGCTGCTCCACCCGAGCATCCTTTGGGCTTGCCATCAGCATGTGTCAAGATATGAATCATATGAGCGTCGTATGAGTGTCATACGAGTGTCATACCAATCGAAAAATTAAGTCATATGCCAACACCCCCTCGGCCCCGCAGCCAGGCTTCGGTTAGCGGGAAGCTTGTCGAGAGCATATCCCGAATTTGCTCCAAAGACAGAATGTGGGCTCCAGCCTCGACTAAAGACAAATTGTGACACGTGCCCCTCAATCTTCGGCCCAGGCCTTGTCTGCGGTCATGAAGAGCTCCCGAAACTGGTTAGCTTCTGCGTGCGAGAAGCCGAGATCCTCAATCGCTTCCTTCTGAAGCTCAAACCTCTGTGGCCGGTTGGAAGGTGAGTTACTATAGTTCCTCCTGTCAGCCATCCACAAGGGTCACTCTTCTACTTGACACTTCACACTTTTTACACCAGTTATTTTGCAGTTTTCGCCTTCACTTCCGCCGAGGAGCTGGACTTCATTCTGATGGTCCGAGATTTGACGAACTAGCGTGACAAATCCTCGAAAGTCCAACGATCCAGTATGGTCCTGGCAAGCCATGGCAAACGGCATCCGACATGTTCCACAGGCACGTCTCCCGCACCTCTCTGCACGACGAGCCTGCACTTAACACCCAAAGTCCTGATCCACCTTCCCAAAGAGGTCGGCGAGCACCGGCCGAAACTCTACTGTATGGGCCAGCTGCGGGAAGAGCTGCTCCACGACTTTGGCAAGCTCACTCCGGGACAGGCCGTTGACATCCCGGGCAAAGGTACCGAAGACACTGCGGAGCTCCGCAACCTCCAAAAAGCCATAGCCCTGCACGGGAATGAAACAGTCATGATCACTGCTTCCCATCATGCTCCCCAAGTTGCTGTAGGCGTGAGGGTTCAAAGCATTCTGCTAGAAAAACTTAGTCCCGGTCGCCTTTCCTTGCCTGTTTCGGTTTAGAGCTTGCTACCCCCCGCTCCTTGATTTTCGCCACACTTTTTCGGAGAGAGGACTAACAGCTTGGCTCAAGATGCGCGTGCTACTGTAAGGGATCCTCCTCGCTACGTTCTGACAAGGCCCCAGGCCGCTGGCGCCCTGGGTTGAGCCTTCGCCTCCCCTACCCTTCCCCTCGTTCCGACCCTTGTAGGGAGACCTTGCCGAGGTCCCGATCGCCTTTCAAAATTCGATATGAATGAGGACGAATCAGCAGCAGGAGCTGCAGTAGTTGTCGGCAGCAGCAGGAGCAGCAGAAGCAGCAGCATGAGCAGCAGCAGAAGCAGGAGCATAGCAGTGTAGTAGAGTAGCAGGAGCAGGAGCAGTAGCAAGTAGTAGTAGTAGTAGTAGTAGTAGTAGTAGTAGTAGTAGTCGTAGTCGTAGTAGTAGTAGTAGTAGTAGTAGTAGTAGTAGTAGTAGTAGTAGTAGCAGCAGTAGCAGTAGCAGTAGCAGTAGCAGTAGCAGTAGCAGTAGCAGTAGCAGTAGCAGTAGCAGTAGCAGTAGCAGTAGCAGTAGTAGTAGTAGTAGTAGTAGTAGTAGTAGTAGTAGTAGTAGCAGCAGCAGCAGCAGTAGTAGTAGTAGTAGTAGCAATAGCAGTAGCAGTAGCAGTAGCAGTAGCAGTAGCAGTAGCAATAGCAGTAGCAATAGCAGTAGCAGTAGTGGTAGTAGTAGTAGTAGTAGAAGAAGTAGTAGAAGTAGTAGTAGGAGTAGCAGTAGCAGTAGCAGTAGCAGTAGCAGTAGTAGTAGTAGTAGTAGTAGTAGTAGTAGTAGTAGTAGTAGTAGTAGTAGTAGCAGTAGTAGTAGTAGTAGTAGTAGTAGTAGTAGTAGCCGCCATGCGCTCCCTGTGGCGCTTGGTACTTTCTTACCTTCGCATGCCGAAAACATTGGTATTTACGACACTTCCTGAACTTGTCGAAAACACTGGCAGGCGTGGTATTCCCAAGAGGGCAATCCCCCCCCCCACCCCTCCACCCCCCTCCACCCCTTCACCCCCCGCCCACCCCCCCGCCCCCCGCCCACACCCCCACCCCGCCCCACCGCCCCACCCCACCCAAGAAGTGAAGCAATTGCCGTGTGAAAAAAAAAACAGCGAATTGACTGTAAACAGGTGTGTTTTCGGGGCAGGAGAGCTAAATCCTACTCTGGACACACGTGTGAAGGCAGGCTGTGTAGCTTCTTCGTCCTGGCGCGTCCGCTGGTGGCTGGTCACAACAAAGGGAAGAGCAGGGTTTAAGGGTAGGAAGGGTTTAGGCACTAGGCTCTAGGGGTTTCAGAGTGGGTTTAAGGGTTTAAGAGTTTAAGGTGTAGGCTCTAGGGGCTTCAGAGTGGGGTTGGCCTTAGACAGACTTCAACTCATGTGGGTAATGTGGATGCACGAGACAAAATGGACGTCATTGGCCCCCACCCCCCCAAAAAAAACCAAGATGCAAGAAGGTCTTGAAGTGCGGTGAAGGCATCTCCAAAACTTTATGCAAGTCAATTCATCGCAAAACTCACTGCAAGTCGAGGCAGGAGTACAACAAAAAAACTCAACGCCCCCCACCCCCAGAAAGTAGCAAAATCAAAAACCCATGCGGTTAAGCGCATCAGGTAAGGAAAAGCATATCGTCAACTGCATAAGATCTTCTTAACAGTAGTAGTAGTGGTGGTAGTAGTAGTAGCAGCAGCAGCAGTAGTAGTAGTAGTAGTAGAAGCAGTAGCAGTAGCAGTAGCAGTAGCAGTAGCAGTAGCAGTAGCAGTAGCAGTAGCAGTAGCAGTAGCAGTAGCAGTAGTAGTAGTAGTAGTAGTAGTAGTAGTAGTAGTAGTAGTAGTAGTAGTAGTAGTAGTAGTAGTAGTAGTAGTAGTAGTAGTAGTAGTAGTAGTAGTAGTAGTAGTAGTAGTAGTAGTAGTAGTAGTAGTAGTAGTAGTAGTAGTAGTAGTAGTAGTAGTAGTAGTAGTAGTAGTAGTAGTAGTAGTAGTAGTAGTAGTAGTAGTAGAGTAGTAGTAGTGGTAGTAATAGTAGTAGTAGTAGTAGTAGTAGTAGTAGTAGTAGTAGTAGTAGTAGTAGTAGTAGTGGTAGTAGTGGTAGCAGCAGCAGCAGTAGTAGCAGTAGTAGTAGTAGTAGTAGTAGTAGTAGTAGTAGTAGTGGTAGTAGTGATGATCATGTTTGGTGGTAGTGGACGTGGCAGTGAAAGTGGCAGCGATGCGCCCACTCTGGGCTTTCTCTCGTCATATTCTCCGACGACACTGTTCAACGAGATGGGCACTGCTGAGACATCTACAGCACTTGCAACACTTACCATACTGCCTGGTTTTCGCGGCGGGCAGCTAAGGACGAAATCTTGAATCGCTCGATGATGTTGAGGAAAGTGGAGAGATCGGCGCCATCACGCTCACCTTGCAAGGGACTTGACTTCATAACAACTGCAGCAGAGAAGTGGTGGAACGTGCTGTTAGGAGAATTCCAACATAGATACCGCCGACAAGGGGGGATGGACTGAGGGCGGCGCTTGTCTCCCCATCCCAATGACCGACCCCTGCATTTGTCAAGACCACCTCCCTCTTGCCTCAAGCGGCATGTCCCGTCCCGCGACACAGGCGACACAGCCCCAACCCTGTCCACAAGAGGCGGTCCCCTCAGTTCCCTGGAAAGCCCCGCACTGATCACGGGCCTTTAGAGCGAAGAGGTGGCTGCCCGTGCTCATCCAAGCAGCCCAAGCTCTCCAGCGCTTGGCACTGCTCCATATCGTCAAGGAAGCCGACGTCGTCGTCATAGAGGTGGAAAACTTCCGACGCTCTGCTTTGTTCTCGGTCCTGCGGAGCAGCCGATCCCGGTCGCCGCATCGAATATCAGCGAAGTGTGCTTGCACATTGTCATGTGCACAACTCGGAATGGAAAGGGATTCTATGCCAAGTATCTTTGCATTTCCGACTGACTTTCACGAACATGGTGAAGTCGAGCATGTCGCTACCATCGACATCAACCTCTCGGATCAGCCGTCTGGCATTTGTCGCATCAGCACTGCGCAAGCCCCCACAGCAGGGCACACGCTGATGAAACTATGGAGCCTCGCCGATGAGTCGGAGGACATCGTCCAAGGGCAGGGTGTGGCCGAGCCAGCGCAAGGCTTTACACACGGAGGGTGCCCATATCTTGTCCTGCAACTACGTATCCAGGAGGAAATCCACCGAACTGATGAGGCTTTGAAAAGCATTGTCGGCCGTCTCCAGCCACATGGGTCGTTTGTGGTTCGGGTGAGGCAAAGTGTCGATTTTGGGTAGCATCACCTCTCTGGCAATGGGTGCTACGCGACGTGAGGGAATATCGATGTTTCGACACAAGGGCGGGAACACGGAACATAGAGCTGGGAAAACCTGATCAGCACGGTTTCAAGGGTCGGCTTCCGGCAACACTGCAAGCACCAATGCGGTCGGCCGTTTACGCGGCGCGCTTCACACACACACACACACAACTCCTATACCTCTTGCATGTGGCCCTGAACACAGAATCACAAGAATACCTGAACAATGCCTTCTTGATCGCGGTGTGCGAGCTGAAGGCTTCCCTCAGATTGCGCATCTCGGAATCGGTGAAGCCTTCCGAGGACATGATGCCACCCCAGGCTCCCAGTATCTAGTGCACGTGCACAAAACGAAAGAAACAGCTCGGCTTGCATCGGCGGAGCCATCACAGGATCGCAGGCTACCTGACCACTGCAAAAGGCAATGCTCCGAAGACAGCGCCGACAAATAAGTCCCGGGCTGAGCAGCTTGCACACCTCGTCCACGCCAATGTCTAGAGACGCGGAGCGTAGAAAAGCCTGGCACGAGCAGGGATGCCGAGCCCACGCGACTCGTTACAAGCTGGCCTGGGCGGAGGTCGCAGTCTCGAGGTTACGATCCGAGCACAGGCCCGTCTGGAACAGGGCATCCAAGACAGCCTGATCAGCGGCCGTGGACGTTCAAGCATGCTCAAGTACGGCCATGACGGCTGTGACGACGTGGGGTGGCCTGTGGCGATGGCGAATAACCCAGGCCGTGTATGAGAGTAATCAGCTCCTCGCCTGCACTGTACGCAGGGTGGACTACACACGCTCATGATTGATCATGATTGTCCAGGCAAGCCGAACTTGCCAGAGCTTGCGCACGCCACAAGAGCTAGCTGCAGCTAGCTTCTGCTGGCCTGAACGAAGCTGCTTGTTGGCGTGTCGGCTGTCGAAGAACTTCTCAATCAGAGCAGTCTCGTGGTTGTGCACTTTCGACAGGCACCGAAGAAACTCATTCTCACTTAACTTGAGATCTTTGTGTTGCCCATGGACCTCCGCCAGAGTGTTGGGGAAGCCAAGCCACGCAAGTGCACTGGAGAACTCTTCTTGGCAGATGATGCCGGTTTTCTCGCGGTCGAAGTGCTGGAAGACTTGTGAGAAAAGATCCAGCTCTTGCACGGCAAGTCCCTCACGCTTCTTGATCAAGTGTCGGATCTTGAGAAAGCCATCAAAATCGACACGGTCGCTACCATCGCCAGTGACTTCTGTCACGAGCTCATCCAGCACAAATCTGCGAACAGGCTGCCCAATTCGAATAAGCAAGTGCTCCAATTGTCCCGCATCTATCGTGCCCTAGCAGGTGCAGTGCCATGAAGGTTTTCGTATACAGTCTTACGACATGAGTCCCAAATTTGCTTAGCTCCCAACAAGGACGCAGAAATCATGGTGCCACGCCGAGGCTCTGAGCTGCATGCATCAAGCTGGCTGAACTCCATCTTGTACGTTCCATGAAGACCAGAATCGAAACGGCACACAAACCTCTCAAACTCTGCTCGGTCAAGAGTGTTGTAGATTGTGAGGTCTTTGAGTGCATCTTGCAGCGCCACCTCACGCACATCGCAAAAGCCACCTCATCAAGCGAAAGCATTCATACATTCTTCTGCTTGTATTTCTTCATGTCTTTTGTCACTCATTTTAATATAATATTCTTCGCGGATTTTCTCTTATCCACAGCGTTCTTGCTTCACGGATTCTTCAATAGACAACTTTCATGCTTTCTTTCACGTAGCTCTGGGGATTTTCTATTAATATTTACTGGAATTCCAAGAACGAAAAAGACTAATAAAAATAGAATGATTGTTGGCCGCCCGAATGTTGGACACAAAGACCCCAATGAAGATACTCGAATTAAGGTTGCGTTCTCAGTGTCTTTATTAGGTTCACTTCTGCGGGCACGATATGAATGATGTCTTCCGGGCGGTTATTCGATCTCCAGGGAAGCTCACGAAAAGACCACTTTTAATGCTACAATCCTCGTGAATGAACCCGACATAGAATTATTAACCGGTTTTTTAAGGTGCCGTGCAGATGCCTGTGCTATGGCAAGTGGTAAGACCACCTTCTGTATTTTCATAGTGCTGGCTTCGAGGCACAAAGGACCAACGCCTTTCTCAAATCATCCACATGGATCTCACCATCACTCGCGAACTTCGCGAAAGCCTCAGTTTGTCTCAGGGTAAGTCAACAAAAAAAGACACAAAACCACCCTGCGCAGAGGTCAATTGTCTCAGCCACGCAGCCGCATCCCATCTTTCTCGTTCCCCATGGCTTACTGGCCGTCCATCAATCGTGAAACTTGCCGTGCCGTCGCGACTCCGCCGAACCTGTGGCCAATTAGCAGTTTTGCCCGATTCCTCCCGCGGATTTCCGCTGCCTATACAACCTGCTTGAAAAGGTACACGGTTTTGGAGGCCATACTTCAGCGCACGCCCGGAACCGAAAAGTAAGCGCTGCCGGCGTAGGCGCACCTTTCGCGTAACAGATGCTTTGATGGCAATGTCGTTGCAGATCCCTTCCTGACTGGGCGTGTCAAGCAAAAACACAAGAACAAGGTCCGCAGTTGTTTCTACACTTGCTGCCAACTGAAACACCAGCCAAGGGGCTTTTTCACAGAGCCGCTGCAATGCCACAGCCTTTTGCAGCCGCTCGCGGAGATGCGTACTGCGTCGTCGCATGGTCTCTCGAAGATCCTCACTCATGGATGCGAACCCATCAGCCTGCATGGAATGTATGAATGTGGAAGTTTCCCTGCCAGTGGCCCTGGCCAGGGCCCAACCGTCCTGGTTGCCGTCTTCCTGCGAGGAGAACTCCGCAACCTTGGTTCGAACACCCCGATCACTCAGCCCAAAGTCCAACAGTAGGCTGTGAACTGCCGTCGAGCTGCTGGCAACAGGCATTCATCCTTGCAGTCACCATCGCTGGGAGCACTCGATGTTCGGACGAAGTTCGACAGCAAGCACCTGTCTACTGAAAGGGTGCGGCCCTTCAGTGGCGAGAGCTTTGCCTGGGGAAAGCTTGGCGAGCATGAATGAGGGGAGTGCGGGGAAGTTCCCGGGGAAGCCGAGGAGGGCGAAGGAGAGGACCGGCGCGAGGTCGATGCAGTCAAAACGGGTGACTGCGAGATCTGCGAGGCACCGAGGACGTCCTCAGTCGCAGCACGGGCCCACGCAAGGCGCTTCGCCTTCTGCGGCGCTCTCGGTGTCGCTGCTAGAGGTGGCAAAGGCGACAGAGTCTGTGGAGTACACTGTGGACTCCGTGGGCTCGGCCCGCCGAGCTTGGTGGATGTCGCAGAGTCGTCAAAAGTTCGGCCAGCCATCGCGGATCGTGGCTGACACCTCAAGCTGTCTGAGTCCCGCGTTTCAGGGGCAAACTGCCGGCGAAACCTGTGCTTCTCTGCCGGCTTTGGCTGGGACGGCCCTGTTACTTGTGTTCCGTTGCCCCCATCGGCATTGAGATGGTTGCACATCCGCAGAAGATGCAATTCAGCCTGCTATCTTCCTGTACAGGTGAAGCTGAAGAGCCGGGCATGGCAACAGGCCACATCCTTGCAAGTCTTTGCACCTATTTGCACCTATTTACGCACTAGTGAGCAGCTCTTGATCTTGAGTTGTGGCATGTCAACAATGTCAACTCCTCTCTTTGTTCGCTGTCGCTCTGGGACCCTGCAAGTCGAGCAACAACCTGGGATATCTCGCAGAAACACATCAGCCGCGGCAGCTCAGTGGGAGCCACCAGGCACGTGTTTTCGGCCGCTGTCAGCCACTGTCCTCAACATCAAAACGTTCCAACTAGTTCCCCCCCCCCACCTGCAACAGCTGGCAGCGGAAGCTGGGTTCTGATCAGAATCCCCCGTGCTTTGACCCTCGTTATTCGCGTTGCTTGTGCTGCCCACAAGTGCACACATTGCTCGTTTGGCAGGTGTTGCCGAGTCCTCGTCGTCCTCCACAGCAGCGCAGAACTTCCTTCGGAATGGACCGCAGGTAAAAGACAACAAAGGTCAAAACGAGTCGCAGAGGGGTGCTTCTCACTGCGGCGCTTGGCACGCGGCATCTTCTTCTTGGATTGACCTCAGCCCATTAGTTATGCGCGCATGCACTGTCCCATTGAAGATCTCGGTCCGAAAAGACGAGTAGCTTTCCAGCAGTGCCCGTTCTGCACGCCGCTTTCGCCGCAGCTCCTCCTGGATCTGTTCCTGACAGGCTCCGCGGGGATGTGGACGTCGGCATATTAACAACCGTTAACAACCCGCCCGAGTTGTCAAAGTGGCTGGGGGGTGCCTCTCTTTCTTGCGCCTCGCGCTCTTCGCGCTCCTGCGGGCACTATAAAGTGCACTGGCTACCCGGAGCTGAACTGCTTCGAGGATTGCCGCCGTCAACGGGCTCCTGCTTCTCGCGCTCCAGTCTGGCCTCGACCTCCTCCTTCACACTTGCAAACACATGACGACACACACACACACACACACACACACACACCCTTGGAATGCAGCATCAATAGCAAAAGGCATGGCAAGCCCGTGTAGCGCGAAGGCCATCCTGGGACTCCTTTCTTCGCAGACGCCCAGCCGCAAGCCGCTGGATAGTTTGGCTAAGCGCCACCTGCAGAAGATTTTGGAAGATTTTGCAGGGCTTCTGAGGCACGATTTGTTCCTACATGTTCCTACTTCGGAAGACGCCTCAGGGATACTCACGAATAGTCATGAATTGCGAAGATAGGAGACATCGGCTGCCTGATATTTTGGTCAAGATTTGAACAATAACAACTTGTCACACACGTGCGGGGTCGTGAGGGTTCTCGAATTGAAAAGCCCACCGCACAGCAAAGCTACGGTGCTGGCGGACCGAAAGAATCGTACTTGGAAAAACATCATGCGCTCGCCCGAGAATGCATCGATTGAGCATCAGGCCTCTAGCTGCTTGCTTTTCATCTCAGACACCTTGCGGCCACCAGGGCACTATGCAGGCACTGTTGGGACGGCTGCAGCGCAATTGCTCTTCGGCCTCCGTCACGGTGTCTCCCTGCGGAGTGTCAGGCTCTGCCTTGGGGCAACATCGGCATGCTACTTTAGACTCTAGACCCCCCCAAGACTCTGCGAGAACCCCTCGCCCTGTCTCCGACGCTGTTCACCCGCAAGGTGCCACTCTTAGGTCGACTTCCCCAACACATCTAAACATCAACATGAAGACGATTCTCTCAGGTCGCGCGGCGATGCAACTTGTCACTTTATTGTGCTGAAAAGGAACATTGCGAAAGTTGGGTGCGCGACGCAAACAGAAGTTCACAAGGCTCGTCGGGCGATCCGTTTAAAATAGACATCCAACATGGCCCAGAAATCGCACCACAACTTGCAACAATTACTCGGGGCATCTTCAGTGCAGAAGCTTCTGAGACCTAAAGGTGCCAGAAACCAAGTTTGATAGTCAAGCCTATATTTCTGTCACACTCGAAGGTCACCTTCTCAGGTCTCTGGAAGCCATCCCTTATAGAATGCCCCCTGAGGACACCTTCTTCAGGAATGTCCAGGGTCGTGAAGTTGCATGTCCACTGACTTCCCCTGACGTTAATCACCCTTTTCCGTCTACATTGAAGGCGGAACCCAGCTTTGCGGGAGCAAGGAGGTGACGGTTAACTCTGCACTGCAAGGTTGAAGGGGAAGTCGTGCAACCACAGCAAGGACGTGCGCACGACCGTGAGATTTACCGTGCTATTGGCAGCTACTTCAGGTGAACGACATATGCGAGGCTTCATCGACTCATCGCAGGTTAATTTCAGTAGCTGCAGCTCCAGAGTGGCTTGTCTGTGCAGTCAGAGCATGGCAACGAATAAGAGCACCAACATATGCCAGCACTCCCTACGTTGCCAGGCTCGTCACTTGCAACGATGGCAGGACAACTGCCGCAAGGCCAACTGGAAGGTCAATAGACCAGTCATTATCGCCCAGGGCAAGTGACATCTTGAAGCTTCTTGAGGACGACATGGTACCGCAACTCTCACATAGCAGACATGGCTCAACAAGCACACAGAGATCTGCGCCACAGTCATTCGATAAGGAGTTCTCAGCATAAGCTTAGCTAAGAGAACTGATGTAGCTGATGACCAAATATCCCTGGGCTTGCCAAAATGCAGCGAAGCTTCGCTCCGCAGCTTCGGCAGAGGGGAATGAATCGACCCCCGCAATAACTCAAAAAAAACTTTTGCCCCCTTCTCAGGTGACATCATTGGGAAGTTTTGGTGAGAAACGAGCAACAACCCCACATTGCTGGTCACAGGGGCTCAAAGACCCTTGTACTTTAGCCCGTGCCCATCTGCGTCTAATCAATGAAGACTTGCCGCGCCTGCCAGTGCTCACTCCAATCTCTTAGCTGTCCCGACTCCGACTGCACGGCAAGCGGCAAACAAATGGCATCCCACGGCCTACGCGGCAGCACGTCGGCCGGACACCTCACGGAAGCAGCATGAAGCAGCTCTTGTCCCTGAACTGAAAAGCCAGAGGGCCGGCGTCTCGGCACTTCTCAGGTGTGCGAATGTCTGAGGTGGGCACACCCGACAGAGGCGAGTTCATGGAATAGCGTGCCTCCATCCAGTCCAGCTTCTCAGCCCTGGAACCACATGGCGTGATGCTCTCTGGACGATAAACATGAGAAGAAATCGTGGACACAAGCGGGTCTAGCAAGGAAGGCTCGCACCCGTCTGTCTTCTTCTGAGGCTTCTCCTCAGGTTGGCAGTCAGGCTGCAAAACAGTGCAGTCAAGATGCTGTCCGAGCAAGAATCTAGCTCGTCCTTGTTGCTTTTCGGACTTGCCATAAGGGTGGGCTTCTCTTGCCAGGAATTCCGGCGCTTATCCAGGAGACCCTGAGAGCAACGATGGAATCCATGCGAAACATGCGAAACATGCGAAACATGCGTGGTTTGCGGATGCCCTCCTTCAGCAAGCATCGCGTTCGGGCGCTTTGCTTCGGGTCCTCTGCCACGATTTCCACCTGGCTTGGATCCAGCTCACTCTCGAGCTGAACTGCGAAGGTCGCATGAGCCTGCTTGAAGACCTCCTGTAGCCGCGCATAGCCCGACCACTGCGTTTTGTCGAAGGTGCCACCAAGTGTTTCAAGAAAAGCACATAGCGTTTCCAATGCCTCCCAAACATTGACTTACTCACTGCAGCACTTTTCAAGTGGGCATGACCTGCGTCCACACGCCAAGCTGCTCAAGCATCGCAAGCAAATTTTCCACCTAGCTGCCTAGCTCGCTTGCGCAGCAGTTGCGCAAATGTGCGTTCCTCATGTGCTCAAGCCACCTTTCGTTTCTGCTCTCACACTTACTATCGACTAGGCGCTTAGGCGGTTAGAGCAAGAGGGTAAGACCGAAATGCAGCTTGCCCACGCAGGGCAGGAAGATAAACGCCCTTGCCTGTCTCCTGCCGTCACGGAGACAGAAACAGTGAATACACAAATGCAACGCTTCCGCAAATGGTTCCAAAGCATCGTTAAGTTGTTAGCACTCGCACAGCTGCGGCTGGCTCCTGGGTCACATGCCTTCCAGCACCAGCTCGGTCATCGCAGAAATCGACGGGTAATCAAAGACTAAGGTCACAGGCAAGTTGACACCCACCAAATCCTTCATGAGCTCGTCACGCAGCCTCGAGAAAGTCACAGGGTTCAGCATGGGCATAACTCTCACCGTGCAGCATCCTGCAGCAACTTGCAGCAACTCAGCCAGAAACCCAACGGCCGAAGTGCTTGTGAGCCCGGCTTCCATTAAGGGCGTGTCGGCCTGATCGCTTTTTAGCACTTACCAGACTTACCTCTTCAAAGCGCGGACTGCCGAACTGAAGCAGCAAACTCCCGGCAATGGGCCTCTATGTCACCATCATCGGCCCCAGTGATGCTCAAGGCCACATCTAAGATCTTCTTCTTGATGACATCTGGACTGAGAGCCTTGACGTCCATAGCCGGACCTCTCTCGCGAGTCCTCGCGCTTGCCACACACGCTCAGGATTCGGAGCCTAGCTCACTGTCGGCTCTCGAAGCATTACGCCTGTTTAACCGGGTGTTAGGAGCATGCGATTACGGCCTCGCGTGCCGAGTGCCGTTGATGCGTGGGTGAATCAGGAGCGGGCCAGTGGGTGGGCGATGGTGGGTGGAAAACCCACAATGGTCCATCTGCTTGAAACTAGAAGAAAAGAAGAAGAAGAAGCACTTGCTAAAAAAAGAGTCGGGCGAAATGCTCTGCTTTGAGCGATGCGGGTCCTGGCCACCTTTCCTTCACCGGCGGCCTCCTCCTCCTCGTACTGCGCGAGCATTCCTGGTGGAAGTCCACCCTGCGGGGCTCCAGGGATCATGACAGGTCGAGGAGGCGCCAGGTGCTGCTTCAGAGCTTCGAGGATGCTCTGCGCTGAAGCCAGGCCTTTGCAGCGAGACATGCGCCCGGACGCGTAGCAGGTGGCGCAACTCGAACCACCCCCCCCCCACCCCCCATCTGCACGATCCCCGCGCCTTTTTCATCGAGCACTGCCTGAAGAGAAAACCATCATTCGTACAGTTGCACCCAGGAGTGACTGAAGCTGATCCGAGATCAAAGGATAATCCAAGGCACTGCTTGGTTGAAGTTGGCGATTGCCTGCAACGGTCAATGGGACGGTCAATGGGACGTCAAAGCGCTTAGGCTCTCCTCAAATCTTCGCTGGTGGCGCGTGCCTCCAAGGCATATCTTTGGCTTTCTTTGTAATGCTCCAAAGCCCTCTCTGCATCTGCGCAGAGGAGGCAGGCAGAAGCCTGAAACAGGTCGCGGACCGCTCGCTCAGCTGCCTGTTTCCCATTCAGTCCCTGGATTCGGGGAATCTTTTCTGCGAAGTCGTCCCGCCTGGTTGCGCTTATGCCCTGTCTTCACAAAGACTTGAACAGCCTCCTGGCCGATGGAAAGCGCCTCCTTGTACTTGCTGCGAAGCATATGCACCTGCAATTGCACCAGCAATTGCATCAATTGCCAGCATTCACTTTCGGCCAGTCAGTAACCAGCTCAGGAAACCTCAGAACCGAAACTCTCAAAGCCCCGCGTGACGTTTTGCATGTCCCCGTGTGTTAAGGCCTGTGACAGTGAGCACAGCGACGAGCCCAGAATCTCTGACGTCCCTTGCTCAGAGGCCTTGGCAATCGAGAAATGGGGCACGTGAAAAAAGATTTGCACAGGCAGCCCTTTCCACAATGCTTGAACCAGCGGCATTGTCACTGCAGAGTTTAACCGCCATCTTCGCACATTTCTCGGCTTTGTCCAGCGCTTCCCTGCAGACAGCATTGTAAGTTTAAGGAACCGTCCCCGCGTCTCTTCACAGGATGTGGCAATGGCTCTCCAAGCACACAAGCAGGAGGGTTTCCACGAAGCGTGAGATTTCGCAGGGTTGCGTTGAGGCGGGAAGCCAACAAAGGCAGAACAGGTCGAAATTTCGTCAAGGTCTGGGATCCAGGTGCTGTAAACATCATCCGGCATGTTTCGCTGAGTGAGCCTCGAGAGTGACAAGGAAGCCTCCGAATGGCACTTGGTCCAAGATCCCGCTGCTGGCAAGGGGAAGGCGAAACTTTGAGTGTTTTTCTCCCCCAGCTCGCAGACTAGCGGCAAAGAACCAAGGGAATCGCTTGCGGGACAGCTGATGCTGCTCAACGTCAGGGCAAAGTGTTGGGACATCATCCTTCTCACAGTAGCCTTAGCATCTTGGGGGACATGTGGTGCATGTGCCCTATGTACACCCCGCGGCCTCGCATGTCTCTTCAGAGGCTTGTCTAAGCCAACTCTGGCCCCCTCGAGGACAGCAAGCTGCACGGCTTCCTGGAGATGGGCAAGGACCACACATCGAGCACGCAAAGGCATAGCCTTGCATGAAGCCCCGGTGCCGCCCTGTCCTGCGCTACCAGGAAGAGCATGGAAGCTTCGTCAGCAGCACCCTCTTCGCCACGCAGTAAAGCTCTCGAACGCTCCCCAGCCCTGCAGACATGTGACATGTTGCTTCGCTTGTTGCTTCGCTTGTTGCTTCGCTTCCAAAGTCTCGTGTGCAACAGATATCCTGCAGATGCCTGATAGCTGCTTTGTGCTGCTCCTGCTTGGCATAGATCTCTGCGAGCAGCCGAAGCGCCTTGCCTTCGCCTGTGGCATTGCCCTCCTCGCAAAACGGCAGCGCATGGCGAACAGCAGTCAGCTTGTGCTCATCTACTCTTCCCATCGACTCCAACATGCAACATGGGCGGCATGGGGGGCTCCTCGCTGAGAATCAGCTGCGCCTTGGCAGCAAGTGTCCGAGCCTCGTCCAAATCACCCTGTAGGACGAGCAAAGAGCCGGCTGCCAGGAGAGAGTCGGCCTCCCCTTCCACATCTCCTCTTGCGACAATATAACGCACTCATCTTTCTGCGCACCCCCCCATGCGACATACAAGTTGGCCAGGCCTTTTTGAGTGAAGTGGTCTTGCATTTCTCTGCATATGGCGAGGGCTTCATCGTGCTCCTGTTTTTCGAGGTAAGCCTGGGCTCTTTGCACAAGAAGGTTGGTCAACGATTGTAAACTCCACCCTCAAAAAACAAACCTGCCTGGGACAGAGTGAGCATCAGGTCCGACTTCTGTTTGGTTGAGCCAGAACGTCGGACCAGTTCCAGAACCGCATGACCTGCAAGCCACTGCAGGCTCTTGCAGGCTCTTGCCAGAGATATTGCTCTCCGGGCCTTCTTTTAGAGCCTCGTCTGCCATTCCCAGCTTGAGATACAGCCCGGCTATCAGTGCAGAGACGTTGGCCTCTGCAACCTGGAAGGCAGCGCATTCTCCGCTTAAGGAAAAATATGTGCCAACAGGCAAAGCAAAGCGGCCTCATCGCCGACAGCCTTGAAAGCCGCTCTGGCACGCTCTGCAGTCTCAAGGGCACGCTCGAACTCGCCCTTCTCGCAATGTGCTCTGAGCAGCATGTCCATGGCCGCAGCCTCAGGCGACTTCTAGTGAGCCCCACCATCCCAGTCCCCCAGTCCCCCAGGCGTCTGCGCATACGCTATGCTGAGTTTGGCACCTCTGCCGAGCGGTTGTCGCTCGCTTGGAAACGCTTGAGGGACTCGTGGACCGCATCTGTGCCACTCTTGTCGCCCTTACCCTGGTGGGCTTGGGACAAAATCTGCAGTGCTCGGAGCTCCTGCGATGCGCTCGGCTTGGGAGCGGCCCGCAGGATTTCCAGCGCATCCTGGCAGAACCAGGTCACAAAAGTCTCACGGCCGCCACCTGGATAAATCACGTGAACACAAAGCAACGACCCAAGCATCCTCCGCATGATCGAGTGCCAGCTGCCACCGCGAGTAGTTCATGAACCACTGGGCCATGCAGCAAAGTTCGAATGCTTCAGCATAGGGATCCTTCAGATCGAGGTATAGGTCCAAGGCATCCTCTGCCGCCTGTATGCACTCGTTGTGCCTTTGTTGCTCAAGTTTACACAAAATCATGACAGGCTTGGGGGTGGAGAGGACTGAAGTCACCCTCCATTAAGCGGGAGCGATAACCTGATAGCTTGAGGTCCGTTGGCGATCACTCTTTTGCCCAGGGGCTGCTCGATGATGTCATGAGCAGATGCATACGCGTGGAGGCATGTTGCCTCCGTCCGGGTGTCGCCCAGGTCATTGGAAATCTTGCGAGCTTCCTCTGCTAGCCTCAGGTGTCCAGGTGAGAGAGACACAACGTAATGACACCCAAGCGTGCTCCGACGAATCGATGAATTGAGCGATATTCCTGGTATGATGGCGCAACACTTAGTGACTTAGTGCAGATACAAGCAGCCTTTAACATGCGGAAGTCAAAGAGTCACTTGTGGCGAATGCCGAACTTGTGCCCCGGTCTACCGTGGAATGAAGAGCATCAGACGACCAACATCTTAGACAAGGAGCTTCAAAGCTTCAGCTGCCCTCTTCTCTTTTTCTTGATTCTTGCTTTTGATGCAAATGTGTGATTGCACAAGCAGCGCTGCCGCTCGCATACGTTCGTCTGCGAGCTTCTCAAACATCTCTCTGGCCTCTTTGGCTGCAATCCGTGCCTGCACAGTGCATTGGATTTTTGCTGTTCTGGCCTGCTGTATTCTACAGGTACCCTGCGCCCCTCCTACTCTCCACAACACGAGCTTCCCTAAAAAGCCCCTCCTCTTCGCGCTTCTTGCTGCCCCTCTGGTCCGCGTTGACCTCCGCCAGCGCCAGGAGGGCCTTTGCCTCACTCGGGCCATCGGCCTTCGCCCGCACCTCCGCCAGCCTAGGCCAAGGAAGGCCAATGAGGAGAGAATAGGATGTGCGGAGGAAAACGCGGAAAAAAGAGCATAGAAACGAAGGCTGGAGCACTTGCCACACCTTCGCACTCGCAGGTATGTCGGTTACACAAGTGGTTTCGTGTCCGTCTAGAGCAGTTGCCATCAAGGCCATCAGCTGTTGGGCCTCTGCCAGTATATGCCATCTTGATACGCCGGGCGCAAGGCGGAGAAACGAGGCTTGGAGATTCGCAATCTAAACAAAGCACCTAGCCGGTTCTTGCACCAGTGTCTTTTCCATAGAAGTACCTACAATAATGAGTGATTTCAACTGAGCCACCTAGGCTTGAAGCGAGAAAGCCTGTACTATGCGGGGGTCACCTTTTTCTCTTGCGTGATGTCTGTAACAAGCATGAAAAAAAGAAGAACCGGCTTGAGTGCGAGTAACATTCTCGATTTCTGGTGTGCCCGGAGCGTCGAAATGTTGAAACAATCCGTGTGTTCGCCTCGAAACGCTGTGAATTGCAGTGTCTACATGGCATTCTTGGACCATCGATATGCCACACAGGCGAGGGTACGAAACTCACATGTATTCCATGGAATTCTATGCTGTTTGGAAAACCAAGTCGAGTAGAGCGCGGTTGATCTGGAACGCCGAAAAACTTGGGGTAGGCTAAACTGTTTGAAGCGTCTTAGGATGTAGAGTGCAACACACACCGAAATCCTGCTGTCAATCCATAAAAAAGCCAGTATATAAAGAAGCTGCACAACAATTTGCTAGAAGCCAGGGCCCTCACAAAACAACAGCGAGATGAGGCTCCATTTCACATGCTGAGGCTCAAGATGGTCGCGACTCGCCATCCTACAAAGTCTCATGTCAAGTTGTCCCAAAGCATGAGAAGCACCAGACCTTTTGTTGGTAATATAGCACTTTCGAGAAGTGAATGGCAGTTTCCCTTAACCCGACCCCTTAAAGAACTAGAAAGCTACATAAGCTGTTTCTGGCTCTTGTTCTAGTCGGAAGTGCTTTCAGGGCGGTCAATGGTTCCACGAAGAAAAATCCAACGCTCCAGACTTCAAGCACGCGGTGTGAAATTTTGGCTCACCGAACGAACTGCAGGGAGCATGGGCCACGGGATATGGGACCAGGAATATAAGAGGGGCATCTGTCGTGTTAGCGTGCCTTCGTCTTTTCTGTTCCTCTACTTATATCATTTCGCGCGTGGCCGTTTTGCATTTAAGCTCTCTGCTTGACTTTTGCTAGTTGCTTTCCATTTGTTTACCAGTCGCCTGGCCACCGGTGTGCGGTAGTTCCTAATCGTTGCTGCTACTGCTGCTGCAGACACTGGCCTCGCTTCGCTACTGCAACAAACAGTGAGCAAACCAACTTAGCCCCTATAATTATACATACCATCAGCAAACCACCACAAAGACTGGAGCGTGAGAACATAGTGAATGGGCTGTACCAGTCAGGTAGCCGGTCTCGCACAAGCTTGTCGGCCTCTTTCCTCCTGTTTACACTGGTGAGCGCCCTGGTGACGAGCAAGAGGCTGTCGGCATCGCCTGCAGGGCCAGGCACGCTACGGTCATCCTCAACAATAGCTGGGTTTTGGCAAGCCTCTCCTTCTGGACATTGGCCAGCTCGAAATGCTTCACCCGCCTGGTTCCCTAATCGAATGGCTGAATCTGGGTCATCCTCGGATCAATTTCTGCTCATTCATGATATACATGCCAATACCAGGCAGCACGACTACAAAGTCTAGCAGTGAAATCCAAGTCACCTCGTTGAGGGACGTCACGCCATCTGCCAGGTCCTTCCAAGCCCCTCTTACTTTGGGTGCCAAGCTTTCATCTGCTGCTTTCTTGCCGTAGATCTCGGCATGATCCAGCCCATGATACAAGTCTGGGGCCATCAGAGCCACGCACCTCAATAGCAAGGGGGTTCCATAGTCTCGCCGACGCACTGGAGTAGCATTACCCATTCAAGAAACAGAATCACGAGCGTCTAGTCTCATGGGCAGTACCTGCACAACATCCTGCGCTTTGCATAGCAAACCCCAAGTCCGTGGCGCCTACTTGCGTGCTCGAAGTGCCCACTGCTCACAGCATTTGGCTCCAGAGGTCTCTCTTGGGCCAACACAGCTACAGCTTGCGCCAAGAACCATTCGGAGACTGAAGGCAGAGCATGATGACCGTCGTGCAAGCCTTAAATACCATGCAAACTTCCACATCTCACGAGGTAAGCATTGTAAGCATTTCCCTGGTTGACTGAGCCTCTGCAGAACCTATGGAGATGAGCTCCTCGATGCAATGAAAGATAATCTTCGCCGCCAGCATCCTGCCACATGAATGAATAGGCATGGCTGGCAAACTTGACGACAAGTGCTAAGCACCTCAAACGCAAGAGGTGGGCGATGAGCTTGACATTTCCGAGCATTTTCCTTTGCAAGTGTGGCAGAATCAAAAACACCCGCTCCGCATGCTCAGCTGATGCCAAAGCAAAAATGGAAAGAACATCTGATGGCAGCACCAGCGTCGTCTTGTATTTCACGAGCATCTCGTACTGCTCTTCGTAATCAAGGCCTTGGTGCTCGTGCCCTGCTCGGTTCCGTTGGACAAGCTTGTCAACATGCTGACCATATCGGGGTTGATTTCAATCATGCGGTTTAACAGGGCCCCTATGATATCCTGTAATCTAGATCAACCCCCATGTGTGATACCCCCGCTCTTCGTTCGCAGTTTCTCCTTGGACTAGGGCAGGAGTCAATCTCCGGAGGCGCCAAATGCACCGTGAAGGACTCCTGCGTGCCAGAAATGGGAGTCTTCACCGCTGCAACGAACAGAAGAACCATCTACCCATCAGCTCTATATATATGTATATATATATATGTGATTCCTGGCATTGCTGGAGGAGAGCTCTTCGAAAGTTCACCTCGATCCCTCTCTGCTTCAAGTCCTCGGCTTCGACAAGGAAAACACATGCACATGTAGAGCGGATTGAATTCCTGGAGTCCTGGAGGAAAACCAAAAATGTGCGCGCAAACTTCACCCTGAGAGTCCGCATCAAGACGGGCGCAAAGGTCTGCGTAGAGCTCAATGAAGTTGTGCTGCAGGGTAGCCTGGCAGTGCTTTGGCATTTCCTGAGTCCGTTGTCTTGGCCCGACCACACTTCTCACCTGGCCTTCTTGAACACGTCTCGAGCAATGACCTGACAGGCTTGCGCAGTACTGGAATGTGTTGTAGCAGAAGCCGGCCGAGTTTACAGACCCACCTCCACCGTTTCGCTTCGGATGTCTGGATTCTCGACCATACAGTACGCGACCAAGTCTTCGTAGAGCTTGTCAAACTTGTCCCAGGTAAGCCTTAAATTGACAAATGTGCAGGGAAGCTGCTGGCACCTTTCATGCTATGAAACTCCGACTTCGATTCTCAATTGGTACTCGGGTACTCTCGCAAGCTACAGTATGCCCATCCCTTGCCCAGCAGCTTGTTGAGGATGGACTTTACCTGCGCTTTCTGCGAACTGTGAACAAGCGCACAATGCTTCTGGCCCTGCTGGTCCGGCAAAGCCAAAAAGACCGCTTGGAGGTAACATGCCGGTCTGCGCCTGGCGCTCCACCTTCTGCATCTCTGTCAAGTCTTTGCCGAGCGCACTCAAGGGAGAGGCAGGCATCTTGGGAACGCTCTTCCTTAGCTTCCTCTCTCAAATCCAGAAAACACCAGTCGCAGCTGAATGAGAGGCTGAACTCATTTGGGCGAGCTTCGGCTTCGGTACAGGAGCTGAAATCGTCCGCACTGGGCGGGAACTCATGCTGCGCCAGTTCGGCTCATCCGAACGTCCCTTGCAGGCATTTGAACTTGCATGGAGTGCTTGGGCAGTTGGTGGGGTTCTTGCTGTCCCCATGCAGGCCAATGCATTTCGAAGCTATGGCCCTTCGCTCCTTCTCCTTCGTCTGACTTCGATACATGCCTTTGCACGCTCTGCAGGCTGTGTGCCCAACCGCTTCCCACGGCCGTCTCTGCAGCTCAGCTAAGTTGTGATGCCCAGGCACTGGACGAAGTGTCTGAGCGCTTCAGCTCTGATGCAGGCAGGGACTGTGATCGCTTCAGCTCTGACTCTTCAGGATCCTGTTGACCTTACGCTGAAACGTGTCCGGCAATGGTTTGGAGAACGCTTCAAGTTTGCACACTGCTGTGCCACTATCCACGATCCCTTGCAGCCTCTCGAGCCAGGAAGCCTTCCTGGCTATCGAGATCTTCGGCAGGAGGAGAACTCACCTGGACAGAGCGAGCAAATATATATATATATATATATATTATCTCGGCACCTCACTGCAGCCCTTCCTGGCAAGTGGCCGGGGACACGCAGGTGCTTGTTCTTGGCAACACCACATCCTTCTCCTGCTCCTGCACCATCGGCATGCAATTTGGCTTCTGTTTTTTCGAGTGAAGCTGGTGTAGTGCACAGGTCTCGAACCTTGTCCTGACGGGACACTGGTTTGTCCTGCAAGGCAGCGATCCAACAAGCTACGTACATATTGTCGTTGCTGGGCGTTCCATCCACAAGAACAAGACCCTGACACAAAACGAAATACCGCACATCGCCTCAACATGAATGCACTGTTTCACGTGAAATCACGGTACGGACCACAACGACCGAGCTACTGCATGTTGAGATCTGAGAACCCCAGTTGATGGAGTCCTTTTTGCTCTCGATCAGCATGCCAACCAGGGCAAACCTGAGGCGGCACCACGGAGGGAACATGTTCTCTGATGTTCCCCATGTTATCATCGCATTCTAGCTGGAGACACTTCGGAGACACGCAAGCTTCTGCGGAGGAGGAGCACGGAGCCCGCTAAAGTCGCGGCAACGCATTTCGCAAGCCTTGGACAAGAAGTTTGCCCTGTCTCAATATCGTACAGTAGGCATGTAAGACTAGACCCACGTCAGTGACCCACGTCGTGCATCTGAATGTTGGAATTTGCCCCCGAGAAAGTTTCAGGGAAGTTTCAGGTTTTCATATGGATTTGAAGGCATACCAACCGACACAACGTCGAAAACGAAGCCCAACACAACTTGTCTTGAGGCTCCGGAAAACTTGCCCTGATAGAGGGAAAGATAGCAGCACTCGGGAAGAGATGGCAAAGAGTGTCCAGCATTGACTTCTGAAAACACCAGCTCTGCAAACGGGCGCAGCAGCGCAGTTCACACGCTCCAAATGCGAAACAAACAAGTGACCCAACATCTCTTTCGATCGAGGCACGAGGAATATGCTGAGAACCCAGGTGGAAGAACTGAATCTGACCAGTGTTCGGAGCGTTGCCCTGGCAAATCGCCCAGATTCGATTATGGTACCGTGCTGTGCACACACAAACAAACCAAAAAAAGGATTGCAAGGCGGTGCCTGCACATGCCTCCGCTGCACCCGTCGCCGAGCAGTCCGCCTGACAAATTGCCTCATCCGAAGAACTACTGTGCAGAGGGCGAGCATGGCCGACTCAGGATCTGCTGATGAAGCTGCAAGCATGTACTTCCATGGGTACATGAGTGGTACATGCAAATACCCTTGCGCATCTACTTCGTACGCTCACGCTGTCCAAGGCGCAGCCAGCGCCAAAGTCGCCAGCATGCCAAGCCCTGGGCTTTGCACGCGATGCATGCCAGCCTCGGCAAACACTCTGCCCTTGCCTTGGGCCCTGAAAACATCGGACAAGCTTTTGTTTCCACATGAAAGCTTTGAGAGGTTGCCTACCTTCTGTGCCGAAAGCTTCTCTCTGCCAAGCATCGCCCGGGGCAACCGGTTTCCTGTAGGACCACTCCGTGTGGCGGTCCGCACGGCTTGAGCCAACACGCGCCGAAGCCCACGGATCAGTGCCAAAAAACACAGATGGCCTAACAACTGTCTACAGAGTCTACATGAAAAAACTTCTGCTGCGTGCATGCAAACGACATATGACAGATGCACAATGAAAACCAAGTGGCTGCTTCTGCTGCAGGATCCTGCGCCGGACGTCTCCATTCACCATGCCAACTGCAAGCTTGACTCGTTCATTTTGCGTGCTGGAGAGTCAAGGAACGAGCTACTGCGCACATGCTGTCGCCACTTAGCGGCACTTGCAACCATGGCCAAGCTCGTACACAGACTTGACTATCATATTCGTCTTGGTTCTGCAACTGTTCTGCATGCCGCAAAGTCTCGAAGCTGAACGGAGAAATGGGGGGCCATCAGAATCGGATTAAAAGTCACCTGTCTCACTACCCGGGGACGGCTAGCACAAGCAAGACTTCAGGTAGAGCAGCGCGCTCGCATGTTGGGACCGCCTGCCAGGCCAGCACGTACAGAGCACAGTGCAACAGCCTGCCACTCTTCGCGGCCTCGGTCTACTTCTGCAACACCATGTTGTTGAAACGGTCCACCTGCAGATCAAGCAGCGGCTGCATGACTGCTGTGACTGCCATGAGCAGGCCATGAGCCCATGGCCTGTGATCCCCCAAAATATCCTGCATGTCGTATCATGATACTTCATGATATGGGGATTTACGAACATAGTAGGATCCCCTGAAAAATTCAAGACCCCAATAAGGTACCCCGAATATATCCTCAACCTTCATAAGTTGACGGCCTCCTCCGCGGAGCCGATGGCCAAGGCCGTGCGTTGGTCGACCGCGGTGATCTTCATGTCCAGCACGCTGTTGCCGGACACTCCGTCAGAGGTTTTACCCCCGGACATCTCTACCAAACGGCCGAAGGGAGCCGCTTCGAAGGCCAGGCGCAGCTTGGCTGGGGAGGCTTTAGACGTCGGATTTGTGAAGACGCCCTGCCCCTTCGTGAACTGCTGGCAGACATCCGGCACCAGGCCACCTGTGTAGCGTAGGGTGAACTTGTTGGTCATGTAGTGCTGGATCAGGTTGTTGTATCCCTCAACCTCCTGAGCTGCTCGCATATTGGCTGGGGCGAAGATCTTGCAGTCCGGCTTGATCTGGATCTTGTCACGCGAGCAGATCCACTCGTTGCCATCACCCAGGGTGAACTCGTAGACACCATCATCTAAGGTGATGAAGACAGTCGTGCGCGGGCCGTACAAGGCCACAAGGCTCATCACCTGGTCCCGGCCCGTGGCGCCAATGAGTCCCGTGGACTTGTCCCACACACCCACAATGGTGCCCACAGCCCAGTTGTTGTCCACAATCGAGCTGCCTTGAATCAGCAATGAAATTCAATGGACGATGAGCAAGGGCTAGCATGAGGCCCGTGGAGGTCGGCTCCTCTTTTCCTGGCAGCCGTGCACTGAAGATACGCAAAGGGGTCTGCTCAAAACAGCTTTGCTGCGAGCAGAAAAGGGTGCCGAAGATACGCAGAGGAGTCTGCTCAAAACGGCTGATGATACTCGGGTCTGCTCAAAGCAGCACTGCTGGCTGCTCGAAACAGCAACAAAAAGGTGCTCCTTGAAGACAGGAAAGGACTGCTTAGGCAGAGGAGCGCGCCCTCTTCGAGGCCGGCTTGGCCTTCGGGGAACTCGGCTTGGCCCGCTTGGCCTTGGCCTTCGGGGCCTCGGATTTCTTCTTCGGCTGCGCCTCGTCGCTGCGAAGCACTTGTGGAGGCAGCTTGGCCAGCAGTTCCTGGCTCACGTCCTTCGTCCACACAAAGTGGATAGGGTAGCACCAGCTGCTGTACGTCCGCTTCGTGTTCTTGACGGAGAAGATGGCGCTGGGTCTGTTCCGGATGACCTTGATGGCCTGGCCTGGCTTCTCAAGGTGGGTGCGCCTAGCCAGCTCGTAGCCCCGTGACTTCCACTCAGAGTCGGTGAGCGCGGTGGCGGCTAGGCCGACTGGCGGCAGGCTTGGTCCGGCTCCAAGTCAAGGTACTCGTCCGGTAGGTGCTTCTTCCACAAGTCCACGGGGGTCGCGACGCCGGGCCAGGTCTGCAGCCCCGGCGCCGGCACCATCTTTTCAGAGCAGCTGACCGTTGTCTTGTCGTCGTGCTCGCCTTGCAAGGTGCTGAAGTCCTTCTCCTGAGCAACGGTGAGCTGGTGCTCGGAGGACCGAAGGGCGCCCGGGCTGGGCATGTACTAGCCATGCAGGAGAGCTCGCCAGCCTAGGCTCTTCGGGTCCACCTCGACCCTCCCGCCGAGCCGCTCCTCGCCCTCGCTGCTCTCCACTTTGACTGGAACGCCAGGCTGGAACGAGCCGGACGAGGCGCGGCCATGTGAAGCCTGCAGCTCAAGGCACTCCTTGTAGAACTTCCGCTGCTCAGCCAGTTGCTCTTTGAAGAAGTTCGCGAGGAACTCCCGGTCCTCCTTCCTTTCTTGCCTGTCAGCCGCCTTGACCTCTGCCAGCTGCTCCTTGAAGAACTCCTTGTTCTTCGCGTTCTCCTGGTGGCACCAGTTCAGTATCGGCCCAAGCGGCCCGAGGCTTCCCACCTGCTCAGCCTCTGTCGCCTGCAGCTCGAGCTTCACAGGTACCATCTGGCTGCTGCTCACCTGCACTGACAGGACTTCGGGCTCTGACGGCTCACTGGCGTTCCCGGGAATGTCCGGCCAGGAGGCCCGGTGCCTCTCCACGTCTTGCGTCGACAGGGGCCTCGGCTGCCCAGGCTCTTCGGCCCCAGGAGGCTCCTGTGAAGCCTGCGGAGAAGCCTCCTGAGAAGCGGCCTCGGACTCCCTGCCCTCTTCGTGCTCCTCCTGCTCCTCCTGCTCTTCACGCTCCTGGCTCTCCCGTCCTCCAGGCGCCTCAGCTCTTCCTGCTCCCTTTCTGCAGCTTTTGCCAGCTCCACCATCTCGCCACCCAGCATCTCCACGCGCGAGAGGATGCCATTGCTCACGAGGCCCCAGCAAAAGCCCCCTTTAGACACACTCACTAGAATCGGCCCATTCCCCGGCCCATGGACCCCTCTTTATGAAAAAGCACTTCGGCTTTTGGAGCTTGAAGCTTGGAGCCGGAGGCTGCACTTAAGGCCACTTGAGAGAAAGGACACGCGGCTCCTGGAAGCACACTCGGTCTCAAAAGAATGCTTCCACTCGATCGAGCTGCCATCCAGAGGATCCCAGCACAAGACGTACTGGCCATCGTTGTTCGTCTGCACAATTTCAGGCTCCTCTTCTGATGAGGCCTCGTAGACAAACTTTGACGTCTTGGCCAGGTCCCAAAGAAGGTTGTCGGCAATGACGTCGACAGTGAGCTGCCGATCCCCGAAGGCATTCGAAGCATCATTCACCGTGACAAGATTCACGCGCAGGGCCTCAGTGATCTTGACGCAAGCATCGAGCAGCTCATTCACCATGCCTTTGAGCTTTTCATCCTTCAGCTTCAGGGAGAGCACCTCTTCCAATGTGTCATACTTGTCTTTGGCCACAGCATCCGTGTAGAAAGATGTGTGCGATGCTCCGTAGGCATCATCTGCCTTGCGCGGAAGCTTGGCTTGCTTCGCCTGCTTCGCCCGCGAGGCACGCCGAGTGGCAAGCATCGCTACGGAGGCTCCCAAAGCTGCTGCGACTGGAGCACCTGCGGCTGCTGCTGAAGTGCCAAGCTGAGCGCTCTGAGAAGTCTGCGGTACCACACGGGACTCCGGGTGCACTGTGCTGGATGGAGCAATGAAAGCCACCGGGGCCAGCGCCAGGCCAGCTGCTCCAACCACCATCTTGGGCATCCGCGACATGGCCAAGGGCAGAGGAAGGGCACTAAGTGGCACTAAAATGAGGCACTTCTTCCGCAGGTTAAGCCCTGGCTCTGCACACAAAGCGCACGGGTTCTTCATGGATCTTCGCGGTTTTGCCCGACGCAACGAGAAATCAGCAAAAGCAGAGCAAAAGCAATCAACAATATTTCAACAACATTTCAACAACCAATAGGCCAACGCGACCTCGAAGCGGACAAGGACCACCGTCAAGTTGTCGCAGCCGAGGCCTTGGGAAAAGCTCTCATATGCTCTCACATGCGCGCTTTCAAAGGCAGCAAACAAGCAGTCTACTGCTACGCGAAAAATGCGAAAAGTTGTCGTTTTCTCTTTTTTTTTTGCAGCCTGGTCGCCACCTCGCTGCGCAGGTGTAGTCGCACAGCACATGTCTAGCAACCTCAGGCATGGACATGGCGCACCTTGCTGCCTGCTGCCTCTGTGTTGAGGGCTAGCGGCTCTGCCAGCACAGGCTGAAGACCCTTTCTGGATCCTGGGTGAAGAGCTCTTGAAGAGGGCACTTGAAAAAAGGACGTTATTTGCAATCTTACCGGAGCGAAAACTGCTTGCTGTCCACATCATCCACATCAGCTTCCCTCAGGACATCCTGGCGGAGGAAGTCGAGCGCGAACAAAGTTGACCGCCTGCTCATTCGTCACGCATTCCCAGACCTCATATCAGTCTTGCTGCCAGGCGTACAGAAGCAAAATATCTGACCTTCGGTTGTACTTTCGCTGGAAGACAACCCCCTTGGGCACTTCAGCACAAATGACAGAATCTTGGCCGCCAAACGCCATCACTGGCGAGAAGAACAAACTCGTCCACGCCCTGCTGCCACTGCAGCCGCTTTGTATCCGGGACTGGGGACACCAGCCTTGGAATGTCTGGGTTTGGGGGGAGGGGGGGGAAGTGGCAGACAGATGCATTTGGACACGAACTCTCGAAGACTGCCAAGGCGAGTCTCTGTTCAGAAGGCTTGAGCTTGAGGTCGCTCTTGTAACGAAGATCACCTGTTAGGCTGCCACACGTGTTGCTCGGGCTCCCAAGTGCGGGGGCACAACAACTGGAAACCACGTTCAGCTGAGTAACCCAAGGCACGCGAAAGGTTGAGCCCCCTGTGAGTGCCGCACATGACAAGATTCGATGCGCTCGCACTCTTACCAGACTCGGCTATGCTGGGCTTGGAACCCATTCACCCGGTATTCCTTCCCGCTGCCCATGGCGGTAGCTCCTTCCTGCAAGGGGGCCAACGAAGTTGTGAAACCCGTTGACGACGCGTGCCATGCAGGCTCTTTGGGCCTGGACGAAACCACCGGCTGCCTCAATCCTTGCCGTCTCTTCCGGTAATTCAGGCCTCGGCCGGTAGAAGAGTCGTAAAGCAAGCAAAAGAAAGGTGCAAAGACCTGCCACGTCGCCGATCTCTGAGGCACGGGCTTGTGGTCTGCTGTCAGGGCCACCTTCCGTCCACCACGATGCATGTATTCTCAGATTTAAACGATTATGCCTTGCCGAATTTACCAAATCATCTGGCAAGGCACCGCTCCGCCCTGGCGGCAAAGGACCGCCCGAGAGTCTCCTACATGTGCGAGGATCATCTCGTTCTCCTGCCAATGCTATTCACACCTCTACTGTGCGAAAGCATTTAAAACGAAAAACCTGCTCAAACAAGCCCCGCCCAGATGCCTGAATCAGGCAGCAGACTGCCTGAGAAAGCCGAATGTCAACCAGAAGACGCAAACCTTGCTTCAACACCAGAGCACATTTTGATCGAGATGCCGTCGTGCCACAAGTCTCAGCTGAATCTTGTGGTTCATTGCCTTCGGGGAATCTGCAAAATTACACGCAGAAAGCCCTGCACCGGACCGGGCCAGGTCTCAGCTGCCTGGAAGGGTTAGGTCCCGCAGTTCTGCAGCAACAGCAGGCTGTCGAAGCATTTCGTCCAAGCGCAAGTATGCCTGAAAACCCAGAGAGCGATAAAGCTAAACGCCCTTGCAAGAATAAGGCAAGCGAAGTGCACACGATGTGCATTGCCAGCCTCGCGCATGGCCGTTTCAGCGTCATGGCCAGGGAAGCTGGCCAGAACTTGCGGCAAACGTCGCCTGAGCTCATCTGGGGTGCGTCGTGACACCGCTGCCCTAGCAGCTGTAGTAAGGAAGGCGCACTACAAATCGAGCAACCTGGCACGCGCTGCAAACAACAAGATGCAACAAGGCTCGCGTGCACTACGTGTGACAACATTCCTAGAGACCTGCTCGCCGCCATGGCCGTCGAACACGCCGAACAAGGACGAATCCCGCCTCATGCAAACATATGCAAACTAGCAACTGCTCTGTGATCTTACGCGATGCTTCACCAATCGAGGCCAAGGCCAATCGCCAGCAAGGTACCCTTTCGGCAACATCAAGGAGGCATCCTGCGATTGGGTCGGCCCCGGACATGCTGAGCGAGTGCACATGGTTGTCTCCATGGGCCCATTGGCCATATGTCACATGCTGCCTCCATGTTTTGCCTCCACCCGCGCATGCCGCAACAGGCCCAGGCCATTCCTTCTTGCAAGCATCGGATTTGTTTCCGCGCTCGACATGCAACGGGTTTTGCACTGCGGCCTCCGCCACGTGCTTCCTCACCGACCTGAAGGCACACAAAATTGCGGTAGCGATTGCACTTGACATTAGCCTCAATACATCTCAATACCCACGGGCCTTCTTTTTATCGGGTCCGGAAGCAAGCTCCAAGGAGTCACAGTAAACACCTGCAAAAACAACATGTCAAACGTCAGGTACAGAACCGCGTTCCAATGGAAATACCGAGTCCGGGACCATTGCTGAATTCCCCAAACTCATCACCTAAACACATTTCGCAAGCTCAATTTGCTGTTGCATGTTTGCGTAAACCAGCTGTGGCCAAGCGGCCACCCACTTGGGCTAAGGTCCGCACTGACTTGAATGTATTCTTCTGCTTGGTCCACCCCACCCCATGGGGCACCATAAAGTGCTTCCATCGGAGCTCGGCATCCAATAAACGCTTGTCACGCTTGTTGTGGAATGCTGGTTGCACAAAACCTTCCACATCAAACAGCGTATCATGTTGGAACGCATGTAGAAGCTGTTGGGGTTGCAAAACATTGTTACACAAGTTGTGAACGGCTTGTGTGGCTGTTTGGAACGCCAACTTAAACCTCCCAAAGTTAGCCTTTCTTTGTTTCGCCCTTCAAAACAAAGCCTAGTAGCGAACGCTGCCCTGAACATTGCGACCGGCAATAAACAAGTGCACAGCACATGGGTTGCATCAGTCTCCCCTCTTCGGCTCTTCAGACCTCTAAGCCAAAAACCATCAGATCGAGCGCATGCACTCTGCGACCAAGGAATTGTGTGCCACAACCAGCATTGAAAATTCATTCAACACAAATCGCGGCAACATCCTAGTAGAAATTGTCGATGGTTCCGTTTGCGTTATATTTTTTTTTTCCTCGCGTCAATGTTCACGATCCCTGTGCACGGAATCGGCAGGCTGCTCGGGCCGCAGTGTGTCAAGCACGCAAGGGCAACCTGGACGGCTGCTCAGCCTCGGCGAGCTCCAGGACCCAACCAAGCGGCGTGCCCTCGTCTCCGGTTGGCTGCGCCGGCGCGCGCCAGCAACCGCCCAACAGCGTCGAGGCCAAGGCGCGCTGCAACGCGCAACCCAGCTGCCCCCACCACCGGCGTTCCCACCCGGAGCGGGCAGCAGCTCGCAGCGCCCTCGGCGCGCGCAGGGAGCGCTGTTGCGCGAGGTCGCGGACGAGGTCGTGCGCCTCTTGCCCCCATCGTCCGCCGACCTCCGCAGCCAGGACGACGAGGCGTTGCGGGCCCGGACCGGCTAGTTCGGGGTAGCGCCGTTGTTTGCGCCGCCTCGCGACGTCGATGGCAGCCCCATCCCGATCTGAGGAGCCGGTCTGCGGGCGTCCGTCTGCGCGCAGCGGCGAAACCAGGGTCACATCGCAGCAGAGTGCCTCGCCGCGCCGAGACGCGCCATAAATGACGAGGTCAAGTCGGCGCCGGTCATCTGGGGCTACGCCCGCTGCGGTGGTCCGCGCTAGCCATTGTTGGGGGACCACCCGCCCTTCGGCGGCGACGGCCTCCCGCGCTACTCGGACCCACGCTCGCTCGAGTATGGGAGCGCGCCGGGCCAGCAGCCCACTCCGGGCGCAGGCGGCGCGATGGTCGCCCAGCTGGTCCACCACGGCTCAGTTATATTTTTGCTCCGGCATCTGAGGATGACTCAGAATGACTCAGATGTCGCATGGCTCACCACCCTAGGCCTGGATACGAACTTGCTTCGGGACGCATCACACAAGTGGTTGGCACGCACGCTTGCTGCGCCGAGATGGCGAACTCGGCCATCGTAGCTAAATACGGCCTTTCGCGTCCGCAGCCGGCACAGCGGGTGCAGCGGCATGCAGTCATGCAGGCGGAAGGGGGTGCTGGTGTGGGGCAGTAGGGAGTCGGGCCGTCCGGGGCAGGTGGAGGGGGCGCAGCGGCGTTCAAACATGCAGGCATGCAGATGCGTGCAGGAAGGGGTGCAGGTGGCATGCAGGAGGGGGTGCAGGCGGCATGCACGTGGCATGCACGTGGGGCAGCATGCAGCAATGCAGGCATGCAGGCATGCAGGCATGCAGCATGCAGGCATGCAGGCATGCAGGCATGGAGGCATGGAGGCATGCAGGCATGGAGGCATGCAGGCATGGAGGCATGCAGGCATGCAGGCATGCAGGCATGCAGGCCTGCAGGCCTGCAGGCCTGCACTGAGGTGGACCGGTTTTTTTTTTGTTTTCTTCGCACTTTTTTTCACCTGCACAGGAGAGTTCTCGGTCCTTCACGGCCGCTCAGCGAGCAAGTCTCTCAAGGGGATATCTGCGCCATCACCGGCGTCTCGCGAACAGACCGGCAGCTCCAAAAGGGATTGCGCGTGGGCCCGCATGGCAGCGAGCGCTGCAAGGGGCGTCCACCGCCGTGTCCGTGCCCGCGCCGCGGCAATTTGCGCTCAGGAGGCCCGTGTGCGGCTGCGGACCCGCGCGAAGCGGCGAATGAACGCCATCCCGCCGCTGAAGTGGCCCCCGACCTCAAGGCCGAACACGACGAGGCGGCAGCGGCCCCGTCCGCCCGGCTGCAGCTCAAAGGTGCGTGCGTTTTTTACGCTGCGCCGCCTACTCCAGAGCGAGACCTGGCCGCGCATCCGCGCCCGATCGCGCCTGCCCGTCGCGGGAAGACCAAGGTGGTCTCAACCGCGATCTGCGCCCCCTGCCACAAAGGCAGGCCGTTGGCCACCACCTCGATCCGCCGGCCGTCCGTCGCCGGCACGTCAAGGTTGAGGTCCCGGAGAGCGACGCTGGTGGCCACCCGCGCGCCAGCCTCACGGCAGATGCGAGCCGCAGCCCTCTCCAGTGGCCCCGCTCTATGCGCGAGCAGCCCAACCTCTGCGCAGGCGGAACGGTGGTCCAGGAGCCCATCGAGGGTTCCGGCGCAGCGGCATCGATGTGGGGCGAGCGGCAACGCCAGTCGCAACCGCCGAAGCAGGAAGATGCGGAACTCCCCACTGTCGACGACGAAGTCCTGGCAGCTCGGGATGGCGGTGATCGCGCAGCTGGCACCTTCGCCGCTTTGGAACAGCAGCAGCGCCCGGGATGCAACATCCAAGTCAAAGAAAAGCATCTCGGACGCGCGCTTGTCCACAGCAGCTCCCATCCCCGCCTCCTGGGGGCGGAGAGCTCGGCATCTTCTCCGACCGAGGTTGGGGGGGGGGCCAGATTGACGCCTGGCACCCCTGCGATCGTAGGGATTGTGCGGCCTGCTCTGCCTCCCTGAAGCTGGGGGCACACCCGCTGCTGTGACATTCAACAAGCGCCGCTTGAGTGCGGCGAGCGTGCCGGGGTGGCACTCCTGCAGCGCGGTGACGATGTCTGCCCAGGAGGCCTAATACGCCGCATGCCTGTGCTCCCGAGCCGGCGACAAGCCAAGGCCACCCATGCGCAGTGGCAAGTGGGCTCGCCGCTCGCTCTCAGGCGGGAGGTCCAGCGGTACCCCCCCCCCCCCCCCCCGACAGCATGGTTGCCAGGCAACGCAGCATCGCTTCGTCGTGCGACGCCGCGTACGACACTGTTGCGCTTGGCGGCACCGTGCGAGCAGGTAGTTACACCGAGGCTCTGCGCAGAGCAGGAGCAACAGCCACGCGCTTTGGAGGTCCTGGACGGCCGGCAGCCGCAATGGGAGCCCCAGCACCCCCTTGTGCCTCAGGCGGCAAGGCCCAGCTCCCTGTCCAACAGGGTGGACTTCCCTCACGGCGGGGCAGGGCCGCGACCAGGCCCGGAGGCCGCACCTTGTCCCAACTCAAGCGCGGTCTCAGCCCACAGGTGGCACGGGGTGCGGAGAGCAAACCAGGCGGCGGTGGGCAGGGAGCTCGGAGCTGGGGGAGCTGGGTGTTGCGGGCGGTGGCCCTGTCACGGCACGCGGCTGGCAAGGGGAGGAGGGGCCGAGCAATCTGCCAAGACATCCCTGAGTGGGATGTTTCCATCGACGTTGCCAGTGTTCGCCAGAGGGAGTGCAAACAGGCTCGCACAGAAAGCATGCGTGGCTGCAAACGAGACGAGGGCGGACCAGCGAACACGGGTCCCCTCCCGGGGCGGCGTCCTAGGCCCGGCTGACGGCTCGGTGCTGGGGCCTCGCTCCAGCGGGCGTCAGGTGGAAGCTCGTGGAAGGCTGGGGGTGGGCCGGCAGCACAGGGCTCACACGGGACGAGGAGCTCGAGGAAGGTACGCAGCGACAGAGATGATGCCACTCCACCGGAGGACCCACGCAGCCTGGACAGAAGCCCTCAACGCGGCAGGGGCGCGGGCCGCCCGCGCACGAACGAGGAGGCGAACGAAGGTGGCAGCCTCAGAGTCCCAGCGCCCCCCCACTTCAAGCCCAAAAACGACGAGTCGGCATCGCCGGCTGCGATCGAGCTCGGGATAAGTTTGCCGCCGCTTGCGGCGCGCCGCATTGCGCAAGGCATGTAAGGCGCTGCCAGGGTGAGTGGCAGCCCCGGTTTGCGGCAACTCGCGTGTCACAGGGCTGACGACCGCGCGCTGCGTGCGGTGCCACAAATTGAGGCCGTTGCACACGACTTCGATGTGCCGTGCGCCATTCTTGTTTTGACTGCTTCTTGCTTTGAGAGCAGCATACCCGGAAACGACCGTTAACCAAGCAAAAACCAACACAAACAAAAGCTGCAATGTAAAGAGGGAGTTCATGAATGCTTGAAGCATAGGCACACATGGAAACAAATGCGTCTCAGATATGTATATATAGACATATATATATATATATATATATGTTTTTTTCTTTATTTATTTGTTTACTTATGTTTTCTATATATTTATATTTATATGCATATACAAAACTTCAGCACTCAAGCCACCCTTCTCTCATATCACGCACGCTTGCGCACCTTGTTGATCTTTCACCCGCGTCCCGAACGCTGCTGCTGTCACAAACTGGACCACACGCTGCGGGAGTTTTCACGGTTCTGCC